ACTGGGCATGTCTTCAATCTAGACCGAGCCTATGACTGACGGAGCTCACAGCCACCACCCGGTGTATTCCTCCCATGACCTTGGTGGCAGGTGTTGCAGCTCCCAGTGGGCAGAGTAGGAGTCTGGGGCCCAAGCAGGTTGGAGACAAACCCAGTGTAGATGAATGGCCCAAGAGAACAGGACCAAAGAATGAGTCCCCAGGAACCTGGACTCAAAGTCATGGCACTTTTGAGCATAGCAGGAGCGGTGAGAGACTGAGGGTGGGCAGATAGGACCAGGTGGTTGCTGAGGGCTACAACGCCAAAGACTTGGGCCCCTGAGGTGTGATTGCTGAGATGGATTTGGAGTTTATCCTGGACCTTAAGTGCTGGTAGATATCTCTGGAAATATCCACACAGGGGTCTTGTCTGCAGAGATGGTGTTTCTCCCAGACCAATGATCCTGCAGAGGAAGGATGAGCCTGAGGCTGAAGGTAACATACCAGGAGGTTGCATCCCCTGAAGAAACCCTCAAACTGAGGAGTGTTGCCTTTAGAGTGTTATGGGTGTCGTTGGGTGAAAGCATACCCTGTGCAAAATATTAGGAGGTGTATTGAAGGTCCACAGATGGTCTGGTCCATGAAGACTTCCAATTCACTGAGTGAAGATGGCCTCTCCTGTGGACCATGGAGAAGAAAGCATTCTTGTACAGTTAATGCCAGAGCTAACCTTACAAAGTCATGAATGGCTGAAAGAAAATCAGGGGAGGCCAAGGTGGGATATGTAAGAATGAGGACTTAGCAGGACTTGGTGGATAACATACATGTGGAATTACATGAATGCTGACATGCACATGATGACAAGTGTATGAGCTCTTCAGCTTATTACAGGATGGACAAGACAGTGGTAGCACAAGTGTTTGTGGTGACCAGCTTTTAAAATTGCTTTCTTGATAATGTCTGTCCCTGAGGGTTCATTGTAAAGATTTGTCAGCCATGCTGTACCTCAAGACCCTTTGACATAGCTATTGGATCTGGCATCTGTTCAACCACAGCAGAAAGACCCCTGGGGAATAAGTTTGTGATACCCTGCACCTGCCAGACCACAGAGAGATAAATTTCCTTCGGGTATGTGGTTAGGTCAACAACATGGCTAGGGAAACGGCTCTTAGAAAAGTAACTTCAAC